ACAACACATACACACACACACACAAATATTATATACTGGGGAAAACATTCAGCTATAGTTAATGCAAGCATAACTACAATACAAATTCATGAAGAAATTGTAGATACAATCTGCTGTATGTCTGTAGTCCTGTCGACAGTTTAGAAGGAGAGAGGGAGGGAAGGAGGGGTTTAAGCTTGTTTCACACCAGCTTTAGGATCTGTTTTAAGGTAGATTTCACTATGCAGTAAATCCACTCCAGCCCCATCCTCTCTTCCCCCCATACCTCTCTTCCTCTCTTCCCCCCATACCTCATCTTCAATACACTCTCATTCCCTCCTTCTCTTACCCACCCTCTCCTCTTTCCTCTGTGTGTGTGTGTGTGCTGTGGTGTGTGTGGGTGTGTGTGTGTGTGTGTGTGTGTGGTGTGATTGTGTTGTGTGTGTGTGTGGTGTGTGTGTGTGTGTGTGTGTGTTGTGGACCCCCCGCTAAGAGTTTGGATTCCCTGGCATTCTCCCTTCCGTTCTCCTTTATTTCTTGACGAATCGGACCGGGGGAGCAAACGAAGAGGAGAGCCGAGAGAGAACAGAGCGAGAAAGAAGAGAGAAAGAAAGAGCGCAAGAAAGAAATACTAGAGAGAAAGCAATGACGCAACCACCAGTAGCATCCTAGATCTCCCTCCATCTCCCTCTCTCTATCCGCCTCTCTCCCTCTCTCCCTCCCTCTCCTCTCTCTCCCTCCTCTCTCCCTCCTCTCCCTCCTCTCTCTCCCTCCTCTCTCTCCCTCCTCTCTCTCCCTGACTGGAAAGTATTTCCTCATCTTCAAGGAGAGAGGCTCCATCTCTTTGAAACACACAGCTCTCAGTCAGGCGCCCTACCTCCTGCCTAACACTACAAATAACCAACAAATCAGCCCGCTGTGGGCTCACTGTGTGTGTGTGTGTGTGTGTGTGTGTGTGTGTGTGTGTGTGTGTGTGTGTGGTGGAAATGTTGAGGAATGAGATAGTGTTATGGAACTTGCCTCTTCTAGTCCTGTTGTTAAAGTCCCACAGGTTTTTCTGAGTACTAACAAAGAACACAGAGTTAATTGTCAGATATCTTGTTGAATTTGACAAATGTCAATAAAGATGTTGTTAGAAAAACAAGAACACTGAGGGTTCCTGTTGGGTTTGGGGATTATGTTTGTGTAGCATGGATGTAAAAGAGTCAGTTTGTGTGAGTTGCAGCTCTGGGTGTGTATTCTGGCCAGTCTTCATGTGTGTGCAATGGTGGGCTGCTCTAACAGCTCCGAAGTCACCCTGCTCAACTCCCATCAGCCACCTGGAGACATGGAGCCGCCCAGCCTCACCGTGCTAGACTCCCGCACTGTCTACATACAGTAAGTACACACACACACACACACACACACACACACACACACACACACACACACACACACACACACACACCTCTACATATGAGGGCACTGACTATATTACTTTAAAATAATAAAATAATACATCTGGAGAAAGAAAAAAAATAAAATGTCTTGAGTGTCCAGGATTCTCAGAATATACATGTATTTAGTTTGTATATTTAGGAATAGGTGTGTTTCTTCTCCATTAAAACAACTAAGGTACAACATGGGCCATGTACAGCTGGACCAGGGTATAGTGTGTGTGTGTGTGTGTGTGTGTGTGTGTGTGTGTGTGTGTGTGTGTGTGTGTGTGTGTGTGTGTGTGTGTGTGTGTGTGTGTGTGTGTGCGTGTGTGTGTGTGTGTGTGTGTGTGTATACGGGTCTGAGCAGGGTAATATAGGCATAAACAACTCCCCATGTCATTGAATATGACATCTTTAAAAAGACTGTGGGCTTATAGGTAGATGGATGGGTTTAGACTGCATGGCATTGACTGTCCTCCAACAATAGGTAGGGGGGGGAGAGAGAGAGAGAGAGAGAGAGAGAGAGAGAGAGAGAGAGAGAGAGAGAGAGAGAGAGAGAGAGAGAGGAGAGAGAGAGAGAGAGAGAGAGAGAGGAAATGGAAAGATTGAGAGATGGGGGAGGTAGAAGGGGAAAGAAAAAAGAGGGGAGAGAGAGGGTATGGAGAAAGGGATGACAGTGACAGGAGAGAGGTGAGGACTATGGAGAATGGGATGACAGTGACAGGAGAGAGATGTGGACTATGGAGAAAGGGATGACAGTGACAGGAGAGAGATGTGGACTATGGAGAAAGGGATGACAGTGACAGGAGAGAGATGTGGACTATGGAGAAAGGGATGACAGTGACAGGAGAGAGATGTGGACTATGGAGAAAGGGATGACAGTGGCAGGAGAGAGATGTGGACTATGGAGAAAGGGATGACAGTGGCAGGAGAGAGATGTGGACTATGGAGAAAGGGATGACAGCGACAGGAGAGAGATGTGGACTATGGAGAAAGGGATGACAGTGACAGGAGAGAGATGTGGACTATGGAGAAAGGGATGACAGTGACAGGAGAGAGATGTGGACTATGGAGAAAGGGATGACAGTGACAGGAGAGAGATGTGGACTATGGAGAAAGGGATGACAGTGACAGGAGAGAGAGGGTATGAACAATACAAATAAGAGAATAGGGAGAGATGCTGAGAGAATGAAAGAGGTAGAGCGTGTGTTTGTGCGGGAGTGTGTGTGTCTGTGTGTGTGTGCGCGCGTCTGTCGGGGTGGGGGGAGTCGGCTGACTGAATGAAAAGGCAGACGGTGACCTTCTGCAGTCCTGTTTAGCATGCGGAATATTCTCCTGCACTTGACCTCTCACCTATACAGAGAGTGAGAGGGGAACCGTATATGTATCCGTCTCTATAACTTAGTGTGTGTGCATGTGTGTGTGTGTGTGTGTATGTACGTATGCCCTGGCCCTTTCTCTCTCAATCTGTGTGAAAGCCATTAGAGCCCCTGACCACCATCACTTAAGACCCACCGCAGGAGGGCACCGTGCCACACACACACACACACACAGGAGAGAGGAAGGAGAGGGTGAATGAATAAGTCAGAATAAAGAAGAGTGTATGCAGACAGTGTGTTAGAGGGAGAGTGAGGCCAGCAGGTTAGGTTGAGATGCACTGATCTCTCTCTCAGGGAAATGTCAGCACTTTACTGATGATCACACAAGGTAAAAGGACAAGGAGAATACATAGAAGAGATAGAAGTACAGTTAGGAAAAAAGGTTCCAAAAGGGTTATTTGGCTGTCCCCATAGGAGAACCCTTTTTGATTCCATGTAGAACCCTTTTTGGTTCCAGGTAGAACTATTTTGGGTTCTAACTGGAAGGGTTCTCCTATGGGGACAGCCGAATAACCCTTTTTTTATAGTGTACTTCTATCTCCTCCATGTATTCTCCTCAACTAACTCTCACAGTCTCACGTCAGAATTAGACATTCATCCATGTTTCTCAAATTTCAAAGTTGTTGAAAACATCACATTCCGAGGTGTTTAAGGTTAAGTTTAGGCATTAACTCCGAAATCTTAAGGTTAGGGATTAATTTAAGGTAAGGGTTAAGGTTTGGGATAGGCTTAAAACAAAAATCTCAAAAACAACTTTCTATCACTGGATTTGAACTTGCAAACTTTGGAATCAGAGACAGATGCAACTTTCTATCACTGGATTGGGTGGGTCTAATCCTGAATGCTGATTGGTTAAAACCGCATTCCAGCCGGTGTCTATTCCACAAGTTACCACCGCTTAAATCTATGATGTTAAAATACCTATTTACTCTGTTCCATCTGACTGCGCAATCCACTGTCTCATCAGCCCAGCCAGGTAATTTATAAACTTGATCTCCACTATAAAAAGCATCTAGATATTATCTCACGTTTCCTTTAGACTAACATTTCGTTTTCAACAGCGGAGATTTGTATAAACCTTGCTGTCTGTCTCTCCGACATTTGCAACATTGTTTCAATATTCAAATTGGATCTCCAGCTGTCCAATGGTAATGAACGTATCGGGAGTCGGGATGAGAAAGACAGGTAGGCAGTTTTTCTCAGCCTGTCGAAATCATGAATCAGCATCATTTTTATGGATAAATACAAAGAACAATAATAGAAAACAGTTCAAATTAAACAAAGTGCAGCTAGTTTGCAGTCTTTCCATCTTCAGTTTGAAGTGATTGTGTTAGCTGTGTTGTTGGCTAGCTCTTGAACAACAGTGTCCTGATGAGAGAGCACATTTTCTATGCCAGGTAAAATTGCGCAACATTAGTTCATTGTAATGGATGTATCCAAATAAATGTCACTAGAAAACAGCTTTAACAAATGCAAATGAAGCAACTTTGTTGTTATTCTGGCTGCACTGTTTGACGTGACTTTAAGTTAGCCGTAGTTGGCTAGCTAGCAAGCAAGGGATAAGAATGTTGCCAGCCAGTATGGCAATGGAACATTTAGAATGAACGACAGGGTCGCGTCTCTGGCAACCGAACTGATAGAACAAACGACCAGCCGGCTTCGGAAGCAACCCTAGATGTGTGTCAGGATTATATCTTGTGGAAGGATGAAATAGTATGAATAAATTCATCAAAATAACTTTTTTAATGAAAATATGTCAATCATTATTTGAATATGTTGGTAATCTGTTGTATAAAAGTGATATATCTGTGTGTGTGTGGCTGTGTATGTGTGTGGGTGCGCTCGTGTGTGTGTTCTTGTGTGGGTGTGTGTACACTATGGAAGAAATAGGTAAAAGGACAAGGAGAATCAGCCAGGTCACCTGTGATACTTAAGTGATAATGGCCGAGAAGCCGGTGTTTGGAGGATATATTGGCACAGTTTTCCGGCCCTAACAACAACCGTGCCAATATATCCTCCAAACACCGGCTTCTCGGCCATTATCACTTAAGTATCACAGGTGACCTGGCTGATTCTCCTTGTCCTTTTACCTATTTCTTCCATAGTGTACACACACCCACACAAGAACACACACACGAGCGCACCCACACACATACACAGCCACACACACACAGACACACACATACAGATGTACACAGAAGCGAGAGAGAAATCAGAAACTGGTGAGAGAAAGAGAGAAAGAAACAGAAAGAAAGGAAGAGATAGACGTATTGAGAGAGACAGAGAACAAGAGAGAAATAAAATAGAGAATCGAGAGTGATTAGAGAGAGAAGAAAAACAGGAGCTTTGCTGTAATTTGACATTACAGATGATATCTCTCTCCGTCTCTCTCCTTTGAGGCTGTAATTGTGGCCTGTGAGCTGAGAGGTATTGCCCTGTTAGCAGAATCCTAATAGGCGTGGTGGAGGGATCATATGTGTTCAATACTCTTTTGTTGTGTTGCATCCTGCCTGTGAGAAAGGTTGAGAGGCCTGCCTGCCTGCTGTATATGCACAAAACAATATCAGCAGAAACACTCAATCTCCTCTCCCCCCACTCTGCCCTCGCTTGGCCAACACACACATACACACGCACAGGCAGGCATGCACACACACACTTTCCTGTCCAACACACGCTGAGAGTACACACACTTACACACATCAGATTTGGGCTACAGAGACAGATTTTTTTTCCCATGGCTTAATGTCACTTTGTTACTCTTTAAAATTATTATACAGTTTTCATTTGACATTTATATTACCCTACAGATGTAGGATCTTAATTTGAGCCAGTTTGCTACAGCAGGGAAATAATACTGCAACAACAGGAATGTGAATTATATTATGTGGATTATAATTTATGGACATTTTCCGTCTCAAATTTCTAAGTGAAAATTAAAAACTTAAGAAGCTTCTTTAAAACTCATATTACATTTCCTGCATTGCATGAAGGTTCTCCTGCAACAGGGTGATAATTATGATCCTGTATGATTTGATGTCTTCTGTGTATTTTTTGTGAGTATTATTATTATTATTATTTTATGAAATCCAGCAAATAATTATGAAATCATTGTATAAAAACTCCCCTCTGGTTTCACTACCCAAAACTATATAATTAATTACTACCACTATCGACACAGTATATATCAGCTGATGAATGTGATAGATTAGTTAGTCAGGCTAATTGTACAGTAACACAGTCATCCGTCATACACAACACACCATACATGCATCACTTTTAAAAATGGCCCACACTGAAGGTGTAACTGGTGGTCCTAAGGGGCGTGGCATCTGGAGTCGTAGGCCAATTAGAATTGTAAATGGTCTTAAGGGAGTGGCTTTCTCTGGGGGTTTGGGCCAATTAGAACAAGAACATATACACTGTGTGTACAAAACATTAGGAACACCTTCCTAATATTGCGTTGCACCCCCTTTTGCCTTCAGAACAGCCTCAATTCGTTGGGGCATGGACTCTACAACGTGTCGAAAGCGTTCCACAGGGATGCTGGCCCATGTTAACTCCAATGCTTCCCACAGTTGTGTCAAGTTGGCTGGATATCCTTTGTGTGGTGGATCATTCTTAATACACATGGGAATCTGTTTACCCAGCAGCAGTTCTTGACACACTCAAACCGGTGCACCTGGCACCTACTACCATACCCCGTTCAAAGGCACTTAAATATTTTGTATTGTCCATTCACCCTCTGAATGGCACACATACACAATTCATGTCTCAATTGTCTCAAAGCTTAAAAATCCTTCTTTAACCTGTCTCCTCCCCTTCATCTACACTGATTGAAGTGGATTTAACAGGTGACATCAATAAGGGATCATAGCTTTCACCTGGATTCACCTGGTCAGTCTATGTCATGGAAAGAGCAGATGTTCCTAATGTTTTGTACACTGTGTAAATGTCTGTAATGATTGGGAAATGGATGCTTGTTAATAACAAAGACATTCGTAAAAAGTGTAAAAAATATGTGTGTTCGGTTTGATACTTGTATTGTGAATGGTGCTGTGGTGTTGAGCGGTGTAATGTGGATTTAGATTTTTTTATCAAAAGGGTGTAAAAACTTGTGGTTTTAAGTGAGAATGTCTCAAAGAGCATCAAAAGTCAAGTTTCTCTTCTACGTTTCTCTCCATCTCTCCCTTTCTCTATATACTGTATATCTCTCTCTCTCTCTCTTCTCTCTCTTCTCTCTCTCTCTCTCTCTCTCTCTCTCTCTCTCTCTCTCTCTCTCTCTCTCTCTCTCTCTCTCTCTCTCTTCTTCATCTCTCTGTCTCTCTCACTCGCTCTCTCTCCTGTATCCCTCATCAGATAGCTGTGTCCTCTGTTCTATATTTAGTCCACGGAAAGTCAATCCCAGCAGTGTTTGTGTGTGTGTGTGTGTGTGTGTATGTGTGTGTGTCTGTTCTGTTTCCGTCTGCTCCTGTCCGGGTGGAGGGCCCCTCGTCTGGCCTGAAACAGACTTTCTGAACAGCCAGGAGGTCTCTGCCACACGCACGCACACACAGTGTGGCCGCATAGTAGTTGGGGAAATGGACCAGTATAAATGAGGTCTGGGGTTCAAACGTTCTACTGTTCTGCCCTTGAGCTACTCAGGCCTGTGTCAAAGTCCTGCTATATGAAGAAAATACATACACTGATGCTTTCTCCCTCCCCCCTCTCTTTTTCTCCCCCCCTATTTTCCTTCTCTCTCTCTTTCCCTCACTCTTTCCCTCCCTCTCTCTCTCTCTGCTTCCCTCTCTCCTTCCCACACTCCCTTGTTCTCTCTCTTCTTCCAGGTGGTCTCGTCCTGGGCAGGTGAATGAGGTGTTAGAGTTCAACTGTGTGTACCTGTCAGTAGAAGGGGAGGAGCCAGTGTGTGTTTATAACAGCTCTGAACTGTTTGAAGGCCACACCCTCCGTAACCTGACACCAGGAACCACCTACAGCTTAATTGTTGCTGTGGGGACACACCATAGAGATAGTTAGAGGACGCAACATTATATCTGTCCCATTATTGAGGTCATCTCTATTTTGAAGTACTTCTTCTATGAGTTGGTAAACAAACTGAAAGGTTGCGTACTGCCACCTGGAGTGTGTTTTCTGAACAGGTATAAAGCCAAGGTGGCGATTTACTGCCACCTGCAGTTATGGAATGTTTGCTCATGAGAACAATTCATTGGCTGATCCCTCCTGATGACCTGGATGGAATTATGTGATCCTTTGTTAACCCATAGGAAGTCCCACCAAGTTGACTACTTAAAAATTGTGAAAGTCCTTAATGGTGCTGCCCATGCTAAATTTCACTTTTAGGCACTAGAGTCCTCTATCTTTCTCCGTGGTACACACACATTATTTCATACAAATCAAATTTGATTTGATTTGATATTATCCCCTGCGTATTTATTTGGACAGTGAAGCTAAAACTTTTAATTGTCTCCATACTCCAGCATATTGGATTTGAGATCAACTGTTTTATATGACGCGACAGTACAGAATGTCACCTTTTATTTGAGGGTATTTTCATACATATCTATTTTACCGTTTAGAAATGAAGCGCTTCATGTATCTAGTCCCCTATTTTGAAGGTGTCATAAAGATGTGGACAAATTCACTTATAGTGTATTACATTTAGTCAAAAGTTAAGTATTTGGTCCCATATTTCTAGCACACAATGACTACATCAAGCTTGTGACTCTACAAACTGGATTCATTTGCAGTTTGTTTTGGTTGTGTTTCAGATTATGTTGTGCCCAATAGAAATTAATGGTAAATAATGTATTGTGTCATTTTGGAGTCACTTTTATTGTAAATAAGTATAGAATGTGTTTCTGAACACTTTTACATTAATGTGGATGTACCATTGTTACGGATAATCATGAATGAATCGTGAATAAAGATGAGTGAGAAGGTTACAGAGGCATAAATATCATACCCCCCCCCAAAATGCTAACCTTCCCTGTTATTGGTGATGCTGAGAGGTTATCATGTTTCCAGCAAGACAATAACCTCAAGCACATGTCAAAATCCACAAAGAAATGGTTAAACATTTGAGAAAAAAGACTCAGTGCCGTTATCCTCGCAAACTGAGGTAATGAAAGTTATTGAAAACAGGGGTACCAATAATTTTAACCCCTATCTTTTTCATATATCTTTTTAACAAAATCTCCTTATCTGAGCAATTGTATTAGTATAAAAGAGCATAATCAAAAACAAAAAAAATGTGAGCATACAATATACTGTAGCTCAGTACTAGTATTATTTATTTCATATAGTCTTTTTTGCTCATCTTTATCAAGAGTGCCAATAATTATGGACCTGACTGTGTATGTGTGTGTTTCCTATGTATTTAGGCATGTACAGGTGGAGGCTGTTCCATCAGTCCCCCTAGCGAGGCTTACAGAGGAGAGTACTCCGGAGAACATTCCTGCCCCCTCCGTCACCCCTCTCTGCCCCACGCCCTCAACATCACCTGGACACCCCCAGGCACACCCAACGGTAAGGGGGTGGAGAGGGGTTGTGAGGTCAAAGGGGGGAAGAGGGGGGTAATGCAGGGATGTGGTACTTGTCTTCAATTGATAATGGGTTAGGGTGACATTTTACCAGAGGAAAGATGCAGAAATGTTTATCAGAATTGTCGGATTCATTTAATTTACTTGACACGGCAGTTGAAACTAGATGGTCAAATAAAGTGTCACGGGAGGATGGGGAAGTTGGCAAGGTATGAGGAGGTATACACACCTTGTATTTGTACACACACCTCAAGCTCCAAAATATTTTAACACAGAGAGATGTTTTCTGAAATTGACGGTGTCATTTCAAATACTAGTCACAGCAATCAAAATCTGTTTGGAATACTACACACGTCACAGACACTTTTAGATGAAGGATTGTAAATATCTCGTGAGGAATATAGACAGAGAGAGAGCAAGCGAGAGAGAGAGAGAGATGATAAGCGCTAGCTGCTTCTTTAAGTGGATGGCAAGTGCTCTCTTTTGACTGAAGCTGTGAACTGCAGGCTGGGAACACACTGCCATAAGAGATCCTCACTCACACACGTCATTGAGCAGATGCTCTTACCAAACAATGTATGGTAAGTGTATAGAATAAAGCATCACAAGTAAAACTATTCTGAGTTTGATAAGAAATATGGGGGACATATGACATATTGGTATCAGACTGTATAGGATGAAAGATATCTGTAGCTACACATGTATTGTCAGGCGATTCTACATGATGGTTTGCTATATTCCCTTAGAAGAAAACACACAGCTAAACATGAGACTCGCTCTTAGCTTGCTCTTGTATATTTGAACATGTCAACATTTTATTGTTGTCAATACTCTTACTTTTAAAAGTATTGAATTAGCTTTTGGTGGTGAATATTTTGATATCAAAAGAGAAGCGTATTTGTTTTATTGGAACACTTAATTTCATTTGTCTGCTAAAAAAATATCTTTGTCTAAGATCATTCTACATTCTGCAATTTTTCCCATTCTTAAAAAGCCTTCCGAATCTCGTCACCACTTAAATGAATTAGATTTTTTTTAAAAACAATGATCTCGAATAAATACTCTCAATGAAAAGACTAAAGAATTCCTGAAGACTTCCTCTTTACCATTTCATTTCAATTAATGCATAATAAAACCTCTCTGTTCTGCCATCTCAATGAACGCCTGTAGCACAGTATCATGTTCAACGTGTGTGTATAACGTGTGTATGATGTGTAAAGCATATGTGTGTGTGGGATGTATGAGATGTGTGTATAATGTGTATAATATAGTGTGAGTATCTTTCACTCCATAAACCCTCCACGCCTATTAGATGTGATAAATGACAGCATCGCTAATCTGACAGCCATTTATTATGAAAAAAAAACTTCATCACAATTACCCGATTATCTCGCACTTAAAACGCCTTCAAAAGGCTTTAATTCTTGTTAAAGGATGTGTCGTATTATTCTTTTAGCCTGGCTGCTCACAATATGGAGTCAATATGTAGTCTACATGATTTGCTTGGTTTCACACTACTAGAAGTCTGGAGGAGTTTTTCCCAATTTTCCCTGGGATTTGTTGGCTAATCCCGCTGGGGATTAAAGTGTGGGAAACATGGAGACAAGCAGGAGAATAAGCCTGTTATGTATTAGGCTTCATATCAACCTGGGCTTATTACAACACTCTTACAGCCTCGGATTCACTGGTTCCATGTCCCAAATGGCACCCTAGTCCCTATGTAGTGCACGTAGGGCTCGGGTCAAAAGTAGTGCACTACATAGGGAATAGGGTGCCATTTTGGATGCAACCCTAGTGTGGAGATGTATTAGTGTCTGCTTTGTGTCTTTATTTCTTTACACAGACGTGAAATGGTTTTCTCTGGGCAGACGCATAATTAAAACAGAATAGGTTCTTACCACAAACATGATCTTTTGAGCCCCATATGCATTTTGATGGAGGAAGAAGAGACTTTGGCCCCCATGCTGTTTCATTATGTGCCTGTAATAATGTTAGGATTATTCCTTGTGATTTCATTTACTGACGGTTGTGTGTGTGTGTTTTTGTGCGCGCGCTTGTATGCCTGTGCATGCACGCTTGAATGTGTGTATGTCAGTGGAGGCTGCTGAGGGGAGGACGACTCATAATAATGGCTGGTATGGAGTCAATGTAATGGTATCAACCACATGTAAACCACGTGTTTAATGCGTTTGATACCATTCCATTGACTCCATTCCAGCCATTATTATGAGGCGTCCTCCCCTCAGCAGCCTCCACTGGTGTATGTGTGTGCGCTTGTGTGTGTGTGTTCATGCATACTTTTATGCCTGTACATTATTGAATGTGTGTGTGTGTGTGTGTGTGTTCTTCTCCTGTCCTCTAGGAGTGATCAGCAGCTATGGTATGTGGATGAATGCTGTGCTGGTCCAGAACTCTGACTCCCTGTGGTTCTCTGTTGACAATCTGTCTCACTGGAATCTACACAGGCCTGTACTGCGCAGGGCTGTGCCCTCGGACCACTGATGAGTCACACGCACGCTCACACACACACACAAACACGCGATCATACACACACACACAAACTTGGTGTCCATGCGCTAGGCCTTTTGTTGCGTACAATATATTTGCATTATGATAATGCTGCTTACATGTGTGTGTAACCATGGTTTACTGTGTATGTCTGAGTGTGCATGTGTATACGTGTGTGCGTTAGGCAGCTTGACGTTTATTGGGATTAATCTTGTCCTGGAGGCAGAACTGAGTGATTTTCGCTAGATGGGCCAGCTGCAAAGTCAAAATTGGCTATATTGTAAAAATACATGAAAACAGAAATGAGTTTTTTGGTCTTAATTTAAGGTTAGGATTAGGCATTAGGTTTAGCAGTGTGTTTAAGGTTAGTATTAAGGTTAAGGCTAGGTTTAAAATCAGACTTTGTGACTTTGCGGCTGTGCCAGCTAGTGACCACTCTGCAGAGCTGCCTCCAGAACAAGATTCATGATGAAAAACGCTAACCTGCGGGTGTCTGCTGGCAGAAGTCGGCATAAAGGTGATCTATTCTGGGGGCTAAATAAATGGCCGTCTGGTGACAATGACATTTGGTAGAAATGCCACTCGGGGAGGCCTGGGATGGGATGGGATGGGCTCTCCTCCAACATGGCTATATATATTTAGTCTCATACACAGATCTATCAATGCAGCATGGGCTAAAGAGGGGAAGACAGGGTGAGGGCAGGGTGAGGGGTGAGATGGGAAAGGGAGATAGGCAGGGGAAGTAGAGGGGCATGGGAGACACAGGAAGGGATCAGGGAAAACATTATGTGATTTCTGATCTGTGAGTAATTGGTTTGTAAAAGTTATTTTCAAGTTCATTTTGATTGATTGATGATGATGAGAATTATGATGAGAATGTTTCTTTGTGTATGTGTGAATCAAATCAAAATAAAATAACATTTTATTTGTCACATGTTTCGTAAACGACAGGTGTAGACTAAAGCCGAAATCACATGGCGAGACACAAGTCAACGGTGTGAAATTTGCGTGCGAGAGTAGCCAGCATCAATTCACATACACTGCGTAGCGTATGCTAACGTAATTGTCGTGAGAATCCATAATAAACAGTTGTATTTGTTCACTATGTAGCCCCTCTGAGTTTTTGTTGTGAGTTCCTTTTGACTCACAATAGATGTCATACGGAAGCCACCGTACCTGTGCTAAATTGTTGTTTCTTTGCTAGCTCGTGAGGATGTTGTAGTTAATAAACCTGAGTTGTTTATAAACAAAGAAAGTCTTGTTCTTCTTTAGTATTCTCTCTTGAAATCGGAGTCCTCGAGTTTTCCAGCCGTAGCCTGCCTAGGCTATATGGCTTTGATCAAAATCAACACAGGGCTCAAACTCACGAGGCTCAGAGATTGAGCGTGCTGCTTAAACCATTGTGCCACAGTAGTTCACAGATAATACCTAAACTTAACCCTCTGAATTGTTTCTGTTTTTACCCTGTAATCACGTGGCATTAACCCTGTAATCACGCAGTTTAAAGGGTCAAAAATCAATATTCATCCAATTACGGCAAATCCCGAAGTGAAACTATGAGTTCAGCTTGCTTGGGCACAAGGACAATGGTGGTTTGCTTGAAACATGTAGCTATTACATTTGGGTCAGACACTTGCCAGCTGGTCAGCACATGCTCTGAGTATGCGTCCTGGTAATCCGTCTGGCCCCGCGGCCTTGTGCATGTTAACCTGTTTAAAGGTCTTACTCACATCGGCTATGGAGAGCGAGATCACACAGTCGTCCGGAACTACTGGTGCTCTCATGCAGGGTTCAGTGTTGCTTGCCTCGAAGCGAGCATAAAAGGCATTTAGCTCGTCTGGTAGGCTCGCGTCACTGGGCAGCTCGCAGCTGGGTTTCCCTTTGTAATCCATGAACATTTGCAAGCCCTGCCACATCCGACAAGCATCAGAGCCAGCAGAGTAGGATTCGATCACAGTCCAGTATTGAAGTTTTGCCTGTTTGATGGCTCGTCGGAGGCCATAGCGGGATTTCTTATGAGCGTCCGGATTAGTGTCCCTCTCCTTGAAAGCGGCAGCTCTAGCCTTTAGCTCAGTGCGGATGTTGCCTGTAATCCATGACTTTTGGTTGGGATATGTACGTATGGTCACTGTGGGGAGGACGTCGTCGATGCACTTGTTAATGAAGCCGGTGACTGATGTGGTAAACTCCTCAATATTATCAGATGAATCCCGGAACCTATTCCAGTCTGTGCTAGCGAAACCGTCCTGTAGCTTAGCGTCCACTTCATCGGACCACTTCTGTATTGAGCGCATCACTGGTACTTCTTGTTTGAGTTTTTGCTTGTAAACTACGCTTTGATCCTATTATTGCTCACATAATTTCTGTTTGGATCAAAATTGAAAAACGATGTAACTGGGAATCAAAATGGCATACTCATACTCCAATATTTCACAATAATGCCTTGCGATCTGGAGGGCAGCCTTTTGCATCCCCCCCCCCCCCCCCCCCCCCCCCCCCGTCTTTCATTTTTGTTCATTGATTTC